TATGCTTTATGTAAAAGTCTGTGCTCCGGCCTTTAGTCCGTGGCATTGCCGCTATGTTCATAACCAGTCATGATGTAAAAATATGTAGAGTCGGAACACGCCAACTCGATATGCCTTGACACCCGTGCAAGTTCATGTGTTAAGGCATTTCTGTGACCAGAGGTTTGTTCTTTATAGCTGAACTGGCTGCACTAGTTCAGAGTTTTGGCCGGAGCACAGACTTTTGCATAAAGCATAACGCATAAGCATAAGGAAATTGATTGGTTCATTTCCTTATGCATTTGCTTATGCTTATATATAGACCAATCAATTTCCTTATGCTTATGCGTTATGCTTTATGTAAAAGCTTGTGCTCTCGGCTTTTATCTTTTGCCCTCTACATTAGAAGGAAAAAGATAAACTCTGAACTAGTGCAGCCAGTTTAGTTATAAAGAACAGACCTCAGGTGTACGTATGGCGACACTGGTCACTAGTGTACACTAGTGCAGAAGGTTCGGCAATAAAGAACAAACTTTTGATATTTCTCTTTTGTTTCTCATTTCTCACGTGGAATTGTGCATAAAGCGAATTTGTCTATTTATGAGTATATTTAGTTTTTATGTATTCATAATATTGCAGAGTACTTATACAGGTAAGAGAGTAAAATTTTCTATCATATTAGCAATAATACATAATTACTAATTTGATTGTTTTATTTATATATAAAAATAATTAAGAAATTAAGTGCACATTATAACCTTGTCGTCACTATCATTGAGTAATTTCTTATATTTGTGTGAAACAGTAAATATGAGTTATTTCATGAAATACTTAGTTATCTTAAATTGAAGTCATGTAAAATGAAGAAAGTATTGGGTTGTTCGGAAAATTCGTAGGGATTGAGCAAATCTTGAGCAATTTTTCTTCTAGAAAGATAGAAAGTTCTGAGGGGAGAAAATTATGAAGCTGTCTAAAAGGTGACAGAAAGTTATAAAAAAAAAAATTGTTAATACAATAGTGACTACAGGTATACCTAAGTATAAAAATATTGTCTTTGAATTTTCCTATATAAAAATTTCTATAAACTTTCCGTACAATCCAATGTATCATGTTAATCACACAACGTGCACGACTGTCTTTATTTTGTATACATGAATTTCCCGTTATTCTCAAAGTAAATAAATATTTTGTAAAATGATGATTTTTATTATATGCATTTGTTGTATTAGTGTGTCAATTCATAATGTGTAATTTTTTCAAGGTTACTTAACATTTTATAACTCAGTTGTAAAAAAATGAAGGTGAAGAAAGTAAGCCAAAAATCTACTACATTATCGAAAGAAAAAAGATTAGGAGTTAAAAGAAAGAAGAAAGATTTAAGCAAAGTTACTACAGAAGAATTTTTTGAACAAGATTTTCACAGTGATATAGACAGTGATGAGAATAATGACACAGATAATGATAATTATGATGAGAATTATGAAAATAATAAAAATAACGGTATAATCTAAAATATTTAGATTTTTTTATATTTTAAATTGTATATTTTAATTTTTATCATTTTTTATAGATGACTTAAACAGTGATCAAGAAGATAGCGATGAAAGTGACTTAAATCCTGTCGAACACAAAAAGTCATTGATAAAATTAAAAGACACTGATCCTGAATTTTTTAAATATCTTGAAGAAAATGATAAAAATCTTTTGGATTTTAACTTATCTGATGATGAAGATGATGGTTCATCAATAAAAGATTTTGATGACAGGCACATTCCTCAAGAAGAATTGGAGGTGCATAATTTTTATAAATTTTCAATTTCTTGGTCTTATTTTTTAATAATTTTGAATTCTTAGGTTGCTAGTGATGATAGTGATTTTCATCCAGAAGAAACTGAAGAAAATTCAAAAAAGAAAATTACTTTGAAATTACTGAAAATTTGGCAACAAGAAATACAAACAGATAAGTAAGTTTTTATTTATATATTTTTGTCAAGTCAATAACAAAGTAATAATTATATGCGTTATTTTTAACTTATAGATCAACAGCTACTATTAAACATGCTGTAGAAGCTTTTCGTGCAGCCTTGAATAGTGTAGCAGTATCATCTGATACAGCCACAAGATATAAAGCCACAAGATATAAAGTAGAAGGAAGTGCAGGTTTGGTTTTTATTTACATTATTTAAGCCATTTATTATTTTTTTAAAAATAATTTTTATTCTAATATTATTGAAATATATTTTTAGTATTTAATGGTGTGGTACAACTTTGTATAACACACTTGTCTGATGCATTTAAACGCTTTTTAAAACTTGACCCAGAATCTCATGAAGCGCATAAATCTAAGAGATTTGGCAAAATACGAGGAACTTTAAAATTGTACTTAACAGATTTATTTAAGGTATTAGTATAAACTAGTAATGTTTTACATCTTATTTATCTTGTTTATTACATCTTATTTATCGTATAATATGGTATATAGCTATAAAATAAATTATATAAAGAAGCATTTTTTTTCCACAGCTATTGGAAAATGTAACATCATCTAATATTCAAACAGTACTTTTAAAACACCTTCGCTACATGTTGCCATACATGCAATCTTTTTCGTCCTTAACTAAACCATTGTTGAGGATTTTGTTAAAGCTGTGGTGTGAAACAGGAGATGAGACTGTTCGCGTCATAAGTTTCTTAAATATATTCTATATCGCTATTAATCATAGAGAATCCATACTGGAGAAACTGTTAAAGGTGAGATTTACATGATTGTAATAAAAAGAAATAAATGTAGAAAATTGTTATTAAAATTTTTTTTAGACTATGTATGTGAAATATGTACGGAATACCGAATTTGTATCGTCCAACACATTACCGAGCATTAATTTTATGAGACTTTCTTTAGTCGAGATATACGCACTAGATCATGATCTGTCATACAACCATGCCTTTCTTTTTATCAGGCAATTAGCAATACATTTAAGAAACGCCGTTACATTAAAGAAAAAGGTAATTATCGAATAATATAATTATATTTTTTTCGAAATTTATTATTGACACTTAGAATTTTATTTTTCTTTTCAGGAAAACTTTCGGATTGTGTATCATTGGCAATATATAAATTCCTTACGTTTTTGGGTAGATTTTATAACTAAGTCAAAAGATAAATCAATGTTACGATCATTATTGTACCCATTGATCCAGGTATTAGTTATTTCTATATAATATATGTTTAATATAACTTTAAATAACTTAATTGCAAAAGTATAAAAATAGTGTAAAAATTTATCCCAAATTTATTGGATTATTTATTAACAGATAATTATTGGAACGATAAAATTAATTCCAACCGTACAACACTATCCATTAAGGTTCCATTGCATAGAGATGTTACTGAGCATTTCAAAGGAGACAGGAGTGTTCATACCTATTTTGCCATTTCTTCTCGAGGTACTGATTATTTGCGATTTCTAAATAATTATTCTTGTACTCCTAGAATGTGCAATATTTTTTATTAAATTTTTTTTAGATATTGGATTCTTACGACTTTAATAAAAAGCACAAAGTGGCCTCAATAAAACCTATACCTATACTTTATACATTGAGAATATCGAAATCACAGCTTGTAGAAAAAGATTTTAAAGATAGCATTATCGAAACAATTTATCAGCTTATACTAAAACATGCAGCAATTGAGAGCTATAAAATATATTTTCCAGATTTGTTTCTATCTTGTATAATACAGGTACATAAAAAAGACAAAATATTTTCAGAATATAATTTTATTAGAAGTATGGAAAATTAATCTGATATATGTATTTTCTAGTTAAAAGCATTTCTGAAGAAATGTCATATAGCGACATATTGTAAAAAAATGAAGCAGCTTTTGAGTATGATTGAAGAAAATCGAAAATATATTGAAACCGAACGTACGAAAGTGACAATAGACTTGAGAAACATGGGAGAAATTACAAATTGGGAAAATAGAGTAAAGACAGATGGCACAGAGATAGCCAAATTTTATGCCACATGGGCTAAACTGCATGAATCGCAGAAACTTAAAATGCTTACAAAAAATGAAGAAGAAATCAATGCATCTGTTTTGAGGCAATCAAAAAAGCAGAAATTCAATGAGCAGAGTGCGGAAGATAGCGAAGAAGAAAGTGAACTGGAATTTCGAGTGAAAGGACTAGAGACTAAAATTGAGACAAAAGAATCGACAAATACTACTAAAAAACTTGTTAAAAAAACAGTAAATACTACTAAGAGAAACAAAAACAAGAAAATAAAAGTGGCCAAAAATGCCGAGAATGATTTGCCGAGAGAAAACACGGATATTGTTTTAGATATAAATAGTGATGATTGGGATTAAAAAAGAATAGGTCAACAAAAACTTTTACATAATATATTAGACTACAAATTATTATTTTTTAAAAGTGGCCAAATTTTGTGTATTATACATATATAAAGTACATTATACATAGGTTTGAAGACATTTGCAAAAAATGTAACTTTCTGCTCGCATTTTAATATTTGTAGATCAAAAACCTCTTGTTTTTTCCTTCAAAAAATGCAAAATAAAAGTGAACAAAATATATTTAAATAATGTAAAAACCACAGACACACATGCGCGCACACACACGCACACACACGCACACATACACGCGCACAAAATATAAAAAAAAAATAAAATTGAATTTAAATAAGCTAATGCAAATTGTTCATCGCGTGATTACTTATATTTGACAATGTTTACTTATGTACAGACATTTCAATTATTTGCGTTGAATAAATTCTTAATTTGTGTGAATAATTCTTATATTTGTGGAAACTTAATCATAATGTTGATCTTGTTCGATTCTTTTATATGCTCTTTGTGTTTCGATTGCCGTTTACATTTATCTGACGATCTACAAAGAAAACAACTTCTAGTGAATATCAGTTACTTACAAAATATACTGCAAAATAATTGTGTAGAATAAATTTTATTTTTATTAGCATAAAATCCTGATGCATTTGGCTATTTTTTCATAATATTAAGAACTTATAAAAAGTTTATAATATGTATGAGTTTAAAAAACTTATATAATTAGAGTAGCTTTTAAATATATAATGGTTTTTTAAGTATCAATTGACAAAAAATATAAAAAGTATAAATTAAAATAAAACGTGAAATATTTTACCTACCAAAAGTCTTCCTTTTTTAGTTTCTTCTACTAAATATTTATGCAAAAAGAACAATGATACGAAATTAAATGCACAAAATTATTCTTTATAGAATAAAATTGTAAAAATATAGAAAATATAATAATTAGATAATAAAATAGAATAAAAAAGTAAAACAAAAAGTCGAGAAATGGGGGAAGAGCCGTGCAACGTTGTTCGTGCTTGAAGTCGTTTGTTGTATTTTATTCAATTATTGTAGTGTAAATGTTCCGTTCCGTATTGAGACTACACTAGTTTACAGCCAAAAATTATTTTGAACCAAACAAGGTGTTTCTTATAGATTTTTAGATGCTGAAAACGATGCCGCAAACCAAATTTCACTAGCACGTCAGGTTTCCAAAATAATTGAGGTTTAATATGTAAAAAATGGGTTTTTTTTGCGATATTTGATATTTTTTGTAAGAAAGCTTTAATCCTTCATAACATGGCCAAAAAGTAAGATATCGAAAT